AGAAAACAAGCTAAGAGGCCTGAGGTGCATCTTCTGCAGATGTATGGGATGGATGTGCACTCCTGCATCCAGAGCAACTCAGCAATAGTGTTGTAATGTGAGGTGTCAGTGAGTTCCAAACTGTAATAGTGAAGAGCTGAAATATGTTCCGGTTTAGTCTGAGAACAGCCCTGATAATGTGGTGAGGCTGGCGTTTTGCCGACACCAACTTCCGTGGACGAAGGGTAGAGGCAATCACTGCCTGTGGAGCATGCCGTAAGATTTTGGAGAATGAAGCTGAACATTGAGTTGCAGAGAAGTGACTGGTAAGCTATATCCATGCCAGTAACTACTCTGATATTCAAGTCAGGAATTGGGTACCTGGACAAATCATACATTGCAAAGAACTGAGGCAAGATTAGCTAATAATAAGAGGCAAATACATGGAAATAAGATGCGTGCTGCATACAAGTGAGATTCCCTTAAAGGGAAAACCAACTTCTTGTTTCTGGGTGTTGAGAATTTCAGTTTTTCATTTTCATCATACTTCCCCAAACTTCTCAATCAAGAGCTGTGAAAGTTCTGCCAATTCTCACCTCTGAAGCAGAAGATCATTGTTATCTATCTCGTACTGTTTGTGGGACCTTGCTCTGTACAATTCGGTCTCTATATTGCCCTGTTTTACAACTGTGGCTACATCTCAATTGGCTTTGAAGCATTTTGCAATGTTCTAACATCATAGAAGGTACTATATACATGCAATTTCCTTCCTAACTATCTCTTAATTAGCTAGATATTGGCAAGTGTCATCTTCACTGCAAAGAGTTACTTGAGGAGTCTGCATTGAGAATTTAGCTTCATATTTTACATTTTACTAATGAGTAAAGCAGGATTAAAGCAACATGTTTACGGTTATAACTATATTTGAGGTAAACAATCCTCCATGATTAGGATTTTGGAAAGTGTTTTCACCTGAGATTATTAAAGAAGGTGTACAAATGACAGTTTTATTTTGTTTTGAAATTGCAACATACGGTCAATAAATTGCCTTCCTGTCTGCGATAGCTAATCAAAACCAAACTGGAATGCCTTATGTGAGTTCATGTTCCATATTTCTTGCATCATTGTACATGTTATCCTCATTGAATCCTTCCTTCTTTCCTTGGCCTATCCGCTAAATTTGCCCAGAATTCTCTGTTTGCCAACTCCCCTCCATACATCTCTCATACACATAGCTGGCTGTCACCAGCAAATTTTACCACATTACAAGATAGATCTCTGCGTTATTCTTTATGAGTGGTGTGAACAGTACAGGAACCACAATAGCCCTCTTCAGAATTGTAGACACCACACCTCTTGAACTTTCCTTTTCCATTATCACTGTCTACACCCCCACCTGTTTTTTTTTCTCTTTCAGCCAGCTGGCTAATTTGCCATTAACTCCCTCAGTTTATTTTCTTGAAAGACTTCACCGGTGCAGTTTTATCAAATGACTTCTGACAATCAAAGTAACTCATCTCCGTTGGGTATTCTGTGAGCTGGTGGGAGGAGGGAACCTTATGGAACTAATGTGTGAAATTATCTCCACTTTAAAACTGCTTTGAGAGCATCAGCAGGACCTGATCCTGCTTGTGGTGGACGGGCACATGATCTTATGGGAGGGCATTTGCTGTCCACGTAAGGACAACAAGCAGGACATGGTTACTGGATAACCATTGAGAGAGCTGGCAAGGGGCACCAGTTGCCACTCCCCCTGGGAGGAGAATTTTGGTGAGAATGCTGGTGAATATTGGCCCTGCAGTTACACCAGGGAACATTTCATCAGGAACTCCATGTCACTTTTTTAAGTTGGGGTGTTTGCCCATTTATTTTAAACCAGCTAAATAATGCTTGGGGGAAGGATTCTGAATTTCAGATGCCGATGTGCTATTTGAGAGACAACGAGAATAATATTCACCCTCAATGCCTGGGAAGTGAAGTGGATCCAACTGGATCATCTCTGAAGCAACGACTGATAAACAATCGGCTCTTTCAGATTTCAATAGGGTAGTAAAAGTGGAAAAATTATCCTCTGGATCTTTGCATCTTGCTAGAGCATGGAAGAACCCTACGGTAGGGCTACTTCTGTTGTCAAGCTAGTACCACCTTGAATGTAGAGAAGTCATAACTATCCCTGGCATCTGCAAACAGCCTCATCAGAGAACAATGTAGTGAAAGACAACCCTGAGCACTTATTAAACATAGTTTGGCATGCAGTCTGCTGGAACAGAATTTTGTGGATGAAATTGCCAAACTAATCAAATGCCATTGCAGGGGGAGAAAAATTCTCTGTAATAAAAAGGCAGGTTAAGTGCACCACTCTTACAAGTAGGATCAATAGGCACTCTATAATATGAGATATAATTTTACATTTTCAGGATGACTGCCTTTCATACTGTGCATCCTTCGCATTTTCTGAAACAATGTACCTGGTCAAACGGTGCCAGAAAAGCAGCCAGTGCTTTTTAATAACTGGTGATCTCTCTACTTGCCCCGTGCTTTAATAAATCATTGCAAAATACCTGACAGAAAGGTGACCCACAAAAGAATAATGGCACTGTTTGTATTTGGTCCTCAAAGCATAGTGTTTTACACAGCACATGCTGCATTGCTAAAATTTGAAAGCAACACTCGAAGGGTGGGCACAGGGTTAACAACTCTTAAAGCAGGAAGCATAGCGAGGCCTAGTGGTATTATGGCTGGCCTGTTAATCCACAGATCCAGATAATGTTCTGGGAACCTGGGTTTGAATCCCGCTACGGCAGATGGTGGAATTTGAATTCAATAAACATCTGGCATTAAGAATCTAATGATGACCATGAATCCATTGTCAATTGTTGGGAAAAACCCATCTGGTTCACTAATGTCCTTGAGGGAAGGAAACTGCCATCCTTACCTGGTCTGGCCTACATGTGACTCCAGACCCACAGCAATGTGGTTGACTCTTAACTGCCCTCTGGGCAATTAGGGATGGGCAATAAATGCTGCTTAGCCAGCGATGTCCTCATCCCGTGAATGAATAAAGAAAAAAAAATCAGAGCCAACATTTAGGAGTACCAGATAGAAAATGTCATCTCGAGTGTGAAATTTGTACCAAAATGTCATTCAGATGAGACATTAAACCGATAATTTCCCTGCCCTGTCAGGTAGACTCAAAGGATCATATGTGTCCTGACTATTATCCATCTCCCAATCAACATTACTAAAAAAAATCCAGTCATGACTGCTTTGCTGTTTGTGGGTCCCTGCTGTGTACAGATTAGCTGCACGTTTTCTATATATTATAACAGTGACCACAGTTCAAAAGTTCTTTGTTCATGGTATTCTGTTTTGGGACATCCTGTGGGTTTGATAGGCATTAGTTAAATGCAAGTCTTTCTTATTTATCAAAAGTTAGTTTAAATGTATAACTAAATTCATATATATAAATTAACCAACCATAAATGGAAAGTTAAAATTCTATTAAATAATTATATTAATGGATTCCTGTTAATATTTTTAACTGGTGTACTTAGCTATGCAATACCTAATTGGTTGCACTTCAGATAACTTATTCATTCTGACTATGTAGGAAGTACCTGACTGTGAACAAGAATTGCACACTGAAAGCAACTCCAAATTGATAAAATGAACTTCGTGTGAAATATTGCAAGGTCTGCAAACTAAAACTGGACAAATATTCTGGGGAACCATTAGCAAGGCAGTACTTCCAACATTATATCAATGACTACCTGACAACAATGTACATCAATGTGCATTAGCCTAGCCACATATCAACGACCAATTCCCCCAATAAAATCAAGATCTTTCCTTTTGTACCTATTTGTGCAAGTTAGTAAGTCTGGAGAAAGTGAAACTGACCCAGCTGTGACTTTTTTATGAAATGACAAAATTCTGACTGGTGGGTCAAACAATGTCAAATAAATTGGAGCAATGAAAAAAAAATTCACTATATTTCAGTGACCTGAGGATTGCGTGCATATACGTTACAGTGAACGCATTGAGCAGTGATCAGTGCAGCATGACGCACACTTCCTACTCTCTAATAACAAGACCATTACATCTGGCGGTTCAGAGTTTGCCCATATTTTAATCCCTTGAGATAAGGTGTGTTTGTTCGATGGCAACAACATTATTACCTACTTCCACTGATCAGATATTACTCCATATTAAATGAGCCAGCCATTACCTTTACATAGTGGCTCATTTTAGACAAGTTCACATTGGCAATAGAGAGCATCACAATAACATGTAAGAAATCTGGGCATGTAGCGCTCAATTTTCCAGCTTTAAAAACTGATTCTCAGAAAACCAGAATAAATGCACTTGAATGTCCATTTTATGCTCTGCCAATAGCATAGACTTAGTAAATCATGCTGCAACAAGAGTTGGCCATTCAGCCTCTCAAGTTTGTACCAGCATTTAATAAGTCTTAACTCCATTTGCCTGCCTTGGCTCCATAACCTTCAACACTGTTACCTGACCAAAGGTACGCCTATATGGTATAAAGTTGTCTGAAATCCCATCAAAACAATAATACATTGCCTGCAGTGCAACTGAGCCTACTCTTAGGGTGGCACAGTGGTTAGCACTGTTGCCTCACAGTATTAGGGTCTCCAGTTCAATTCCACCCTCAGGTGACTGTCAGTGTAGAATTTGTACATTCTCCCCATATCTGTGCTGGTTTTGTCTGGGTGTTCTGGTTTCCTCCCACAATCTAAATATGTGTAGGTTAGGTGGAGTGTCAGAGTGTCAGGGATGTGCAGGCTGGGTGGATTAACTGTGGTAAATTTTGAGTAACGGGGATGGATGGGATGCTGTTTGGAGGGTTGGTATAGACTGAATGGCTCCTGCCTATACTGTAGGGATTCTAAAACAATGCATTTTGTTGGTCATTTAATCAGCACAATTGTATTATCATTATACATGTCGAGGTAGTAATTTCCTTCCAATTAATACTAACATCTTCTTTTGCTTTACAGGAAGCCGTGCTCTTATTTTCAAATGTGTTAACAGGAATACACATGAAGAAGTATCTGATAACCTGTGTGAAACTGCAATGAGACCAACACCAGATGAAGAAGCCTGTAATATCCAGCCGTGCCCAGCCTAGTATGTTCACAGAGACTACTAGCTTTGTCATCCAAATTCTCCTGTGGAAACACCCACATTACATTTGTCTGGTGTTGGTCTGAGAGGACAAATGCTGTGTAATCTCACACACACACACACACACACACACACACACAGAATGAAGCTTTGTGTTTAAATGGAACATTTCATAAGCCTGAAACAGCCAGTGTGCAGTCCCTGCAGAAATGGATGCAATTTGGATACAGGCCAACCAGGGGCCAACAGAAACAGAAACTTAATCAAAGCCCCAAGAAGCTATGAAATTGTGCTGTAATAACAAGTAATCACTGGAGATTGAATACATTTAGTAAAAAAATAGTGAGGTCTCCAGAAGCTGTGTTTTCTGGTTGAGCATGTTACAAACATTGCTCTATATTGGCATTATCAAATGTCAATGGGCATGAAATTTCTTTGGATTCATTCATAAGATGTGGGCATCTCTAGCTAGACCAGCATTTATTGCCCATCCCTTATTGCCCTTGCAAAAGTGGTGCCAGCTAAAATTGTGCAGTCGGCATGGTAATTGTATTGTTCTGATGTTTTTTATGAGGATGTTTTATCTTTAAGGTGAGAATTGTTAGAGTACATTGTATGTGGGGAAACATGAACTGTCCTCATTGACACTTCACAGCCTAGGGGCAGAATTAAAGCCCCTTCTCATGTGATCCCAGTAAAATAGTTCATCCCTAGCCACTGATTTGCTGATTGTAAAGATTTCATTTCCCATACCAGCCTGAAATGAAAATAGTTTGAAGGCACATTTCCTCCTGCGATTTTTATATATTTTTTAATGAAAATCAGGAACAAAAATCCCCCATCAATCCAAAATCCCATTAACACTTTTTTTGTTTGAAAAAAAAACAGTTTTAAATGAGCTGCCTGGTAGTTTCCATCTCTGTGCACTGTTTGTATCACTCAGCAGGAGTCACTGAAAAAGCACCAGGAATGAGAAAGGCTCCTTCCTCCACTTTGAAAATTGCAGGTTTTGTGAATGTTCAACATAACCTGGGGGTGGAATCCCACTGGCTTTTCCCCATCATCTACAGTAATTTCAGTAGAAGAGCTGCTGAAAAGCAGGAAAACTGGCATAAATGATGGCTGAGTAGGAGAATCCCTGTGGAAATCTCTCATTCCCAGTGAGCTTAGAAAATAACAGCAATGTGCTTGAACTAAATGGGTTCATTCAGTGGAATAGCTTTTTGAATCAAGGACATTCAGTTTTAAAAGCCTTTTCTCTGATGCTCTTACTCCTCATTCACTGTTTTTGAATGACTTAATCAGTATCTCTTCAGGTGGTTGTAAATTCTGGAGGATGTCTTGAGGTCATAAAAGGTGCTGTTTCAATGCAAGTCTACCTATCCCGTCTTTCTTTTGTTTTAATTAACTTTCTTCCTCGATGTTTACATGAGGACTGTACTCTGCAAACATCACTAGGCAAATGTGTGCTGGGATATTACAAAAGTGTGTTCAGATAGTGATGTGCATTTGCGCTAAGATAGCTTCTTTCCCTCTTTAGTTATACTCATTTTTTATCTTTGATGATCATAGAATTGTGAGAAGTGTATTTCTTTACATAGTTCCTGATTGTGAGGGGGGCATTAACATATCGAACATTATTGCTTTTGTCAAAGCTGGGACCTGGGAGAATGGTCAGAATGCAGTAAGACGTGTGGACCTGGAATACAACATCGGCAGGTGCTTTGTAGACAAGTTTATGCCAACCGGACTACCACGGTTCAACCTGAGCGATGCCAGCACCTGGAGAAACCTGAAACAACCACGACCTGCCAACTGAAAATCTGCAGTGAGTGGCATATCAGGACAGAATGGAGTGAGGTAAATGCAACCCATGGACAACATGGCTACATCAGCTGGTATAAATAGTGGCCACGCCAGCTTGAGCACCAGACACTGTATCAATCTGATTTCTGTAGAATATGACAACAAGGGAACATAAGAAACAAGAGTGGGCCATTCAACCCTTCAAGCCTGCCCCACCATTCTGTAAGATCATGGCTAATCAACCCCAGATATCAACACCACTTTTATGCCACCTCCTCATAGCCCTCAACTCCTCAATATTTTAAAAAGTCCATCTACCTCTACTTTAAATACTTTCAGTAATCTATCCTCTACAACTCTCTGGGGTAGAGAATTCCGAATATTCAGTACCATCTGACAAAATAGAATTCTGCACACCCTAAGGTGGATTCCCACTATCTCCTCATCTGCAGTAATTTCAATGGAAGAGCTGCGGAGAACATTGAGGAAGAAATTATTTTGCATCTCAGTTTTAAATGATTGTCCCCATATTCTATAACTACATGCCCTAGTTCGGGACTGTGCCACTCCCCCACTGGTGGAAACACCCTCTCAACATCTACCCTGTTAAACCCCTTCAGAATCTTGTATGTTTCAATATGATCACCCCCTGCTAAACTCTAATGAATAAATGTCTAACATTTGCCATTCTTGAAAAGTCAACCCCTTCATTCCAGGGAACCGAAGTTGAGGACTAATGAAGGAACCAATTTAGATATGTCCTTGGCTGTTACTTGTCAGAAGAACAGGACAAAAAAAAAACATATCCAATTACGAAATTACTTGGAGAAAACTAAGAAACCATTACTCGTGAACTCAACATCTCTTAGGAGCTTCACCAACACGATCACGTGCTTCCCCGCTCTAACTCCACAATTTACCTTGACACTGGTCTGTCTGGTCTTTGTTTTGAGGGCTCAATTCAATCAGCTACAGCAGGATGCCTGTTTGACAGCTGCCTGTTAGCCTGTCAGATTTCAATTCAGAACTATGAGTGGGTCACTGGAATGGTGGTCAATCAGCTCTAACTCCAAAAAGTAATCTCTCAAAAGGGCAAATAGTTGGGAGAGAAATCAAAACAATTGAGCATTGCTGAAAAGAGACACACTGTCGAAGCTCCTCATTTTGTACTCATCAGCACAGCTGCATGAATGCCAAATTTCATGGGAAACAAAAATTTAGACTGCTTGAGAAAAAGGTGCTGATTGGTTGGCAAGTGCACTCTAATTTGTCAAGAAATTGCCATGGAGAATACACCAATCTGTGCTTGCAAAACATAGAGCATAGTGTCCAATATTAGATGTCATTCTGTGATTGGACAGACATTGTCGAACAAATCTGAGTGTGTCAAGAATTACACAAACATCCAATTTAAGATTACCAATGTGGCTCACTTCATTGTGTTAGAAGCTATACATATTCAGATGCAGGACCTGAAACTCTGCAGGAAACTTGTCCAGGCATTGTGCCTTTTTCAATTAGACAAAAGCTTGAGAGACAACTGTTCCCTGGTGCATTCCTAATTGCAACACATCAACCAAGAACAAAGAACAGAGGAAATTATAATACAGGAACAGGCCCTTTGGCCCTCCAAGCCTGCACCAACATGCTACCTGTCACAACTAAAACCCCCTACCCTTCCGGGGACTGTATCCCTCTATTCCCATCCTATTCATGTATTTGTCAAGATGCCTTTTAAAAGTCACTATAGTATCTGCTTCCACTACCTCCCCTGGCAATGAGTTCCAGGCACCCACCACCCTCTGTGTAAAAAATTTGCCTCGTACATCACCTTTAAACCTTGCCCCTCGCACCTTAAACCCATGGCCCATGGTAACTGACTCTTCCACTCTGGGAAAAAGCTTCTGTCTGTCCAGTCTGTCCATGCCCTTCATAATCTTGTAGACCTCTATCAGGTCGCCCCTCAACCTCCATCATTCCAGTGAGAACAACCCAAGTTTCTCCAACCTCTCCTCATAGCTAATGCCTTCCATACCAGACATCATCCTGGTAAATCTTTTCTGTACCGTCTCCAAAGCCACCACATCATTCTGGTAGTGTGGCAACCAGAACTGAATACAATATTCCAAATGCGGCCTAACTAAGGTTCTATAAAGCTGCAACCTTATCTGCCAATTTTTAAACTCAATGCCCCAGCTAATGAAGGCAAGCAACCAATCAGAGTTGACTTGCCTGCTTGGAATTTAAATAAAAGCTTGGGGGAATACCTATCCCATTGCTACATTCTCCTTGGAAACATTTAAACCAATCAGAGCCCATTTGCCAACAATCAACACCCTTTTTCTTATGCAGTATAAATTGTTGTTTCCATTCTTCTAGTTTTCTTGTGTCTGTCCTGATGAGTGCAAGACAAAAAACTTCCACAACATTTGTTTTTGGCAATGCCCAAAAGAAGAAATTAAAGCATTTATTCAATGGAGAGACACCTGTTAAAGATGTGGATGAGCAGAACAGCCTAAGTGTTCAAATACCTATGTTTGGCTTAGAAGAGCTCCATAATAATTGTTTTGTTGCCTCTATTCTTCACCCTTTTGGCAGTGCTCAGTACCTTGTGGTGTGGGACAAAGGATCCGGGATGTAAAATGCATTGACAATCTCGGTGATATCGTTGACGATGAAGAGTGCAACATGCAACTGAAGCCCGCTGATACAGAAAATTGTGACATGGGCCCATGTGCAAAGAGCTGGTTCCACACAGACTGGAGTGTCAGGGTAAAGAACTATTATTCTCTGTCAAATCTCTCTGTACCAATATAGCCACAGCATTCTTTCCTGTTCTGCACATGCTGACTTTATTCGAGAGAAGTTAACAGTACAGAGGTAGACTTACATCCTTCAGTTAAGTTATCAGTATTGAACTAGAGAACATGATCTGGTAGTAAGGGAACATCTTAGAAAAAGAGACCAGAAAATAATATTCACCATCAGGTTTTTAGTGTCAAAAGAAGGATCACAAACTTTGGACTTCAAAATAAAAACCGAAAGAAGTGTGGATGCTGTAAACCAGGAACAAAAACAGAAGTTGCTGGAAAAACTCAGCAGGTCTGGCAGCATCTGTGAAGAAAAAAATCAGAGTTAATGTTTCGGGTCCAGTGACCATTCCTCAGAACTGTTCAGGAGTTCTGAGGAAGGGTTCACAGGAGTTCTGAGTAAGGGTCACTGGATCCAAAACGTTAACTCTGATTTTTTTTTCTTCACAGATGCTGCCAGACCTGCTGAGCTTTTCTCGCAACTTCTGTTTTTGTTTTGCACTTCAAAACCTTGAAGGATTAACCAAAATATCATATTTCTCATGAGTCAGAAATTTGCTGAGTCAAGTCCCATCAAACTAAGCTCAGGGCACAAGCCAAGTCTGTTTTGTTCCAGATCCACAATAATTTCACCACTGGTCCTTAAAGAGATTTCTGCAGGCTGCTGACAGAGGTAATTTCTCTGGTTTCCACTGAGCTCGATTTGGGGCTAAAGAGAACAGACGTGCTTATGCTCATTCCACACCCATACTACAGACTGTTGCTGACTGGTCCTCACATATTCCTAGTCACTATCCCCGACCAGGACGTAACTTTGGACCAAATCAGCCAGTCACTATTGGAAAGAGCAAGCCCAGCAACGCACCTAATTGCCATCCACAGTTCACCAGCGTTGTGAAAATAATATCTGAGACCTAATTTTGGGTTAACCTCAAGCCATCATCCTTGCAACCCTTTGTCACACCTAAATTTATGTGTGCATCACTGGTGTTGTTCTGTAAATCTAGTACAAGAGATTAAGAAGATTAAACAGCAAGCATCTTCCATTAGGTGAATTCATGGAACGGCAGGAAGAATTTAATACTGGGATGTTTTATTTCTTGAATGTTTTATATCGAACAGGACTTGAGTTCTGGGGAGAGTTAATTTCTGGAGTAGGGATTTGGATAACTCTGGGAAGGAGGTTTATATCTGAGCGGTTTCATATCGAGAAGTGACCAGTATTATGACACTTCATATGTTAGTTTCTGTAGCACGGTTTGTTATGATTACTTTGTCACTGCATGTTTGGTTTGTGTCTTACTGCAGTGTTCTGCAGAGTGTGGCCCAGGCATCCAGACGAGATCAGTTGTATGTCTGATGAATCACATCAGCAGCTTACCTCTAGAAGGCTGTGGGGTTGAGAAGCCTGAGGATGTACGACCTTGCAATGTTGGTCCTTGCAATGAGGATGTCAGGTGGTTCACAGGACCATGGAGCCAGGTATGTTTCATTAACATCTTACAACAACTGAATGATCAAGTGGAGCTTGAAAGGGTAGTAGAGGCCTATGGACTGAATGCTGGTGAGTTGGGAGTAGACTGGTAACTCATTTTTCATGGTCGCAGATACAGTGAACCAAGTGGACTCTTTCTGTGCCATAAACTTTCTATAATTCTAGCACAGCGCAAGAGTATACAGTAATAATTTTCTACATTTTTATGCTTATTCAGTTGAATAGAAATTTGCTGTTTCATTTCAAAAGAATCGTTTTGGGCTTATAAGTAACTTCTGCTTCAACAACAATGCTCTGTCCGTAATAATTAGGTAATGTCATTTTTGTGTATGAACGTGATTGGACATGTAATGACAAGGCTCCACAGCCATCAGTTTCTGAAGTGGGATTTGAACTTATACCTTTTGGTATCATCAATGTGAAGACAGTTATCACTTTGAAATGTCTTTCAGCTGTTTCATAGCCAATTTCAAATTAGTCATTTTCTGAGTTATTTCAATTGGATGTGAATTCTATTCAGTTTTTTGCTGTTAATTGGGGGCTCACTTGTCCTTAAATGTGGTACAAAAGGGTTTTGTATGTATCCCTATGTCTGGGCCAGAACGTCTGGGTTTAAATCCTACTTGCCCCAGAGTTGTGTCATTTTTTTTCTTTTTCTACACCAACCTGTTCAGAGATATTATTACATCTCTCTGGAGTAGGTGGGACTTGAGCCCAGGTCTTCAGGACTAGAGATGCTGACACTACCACTGCACCACAAGAGCCCTTCTCACCAGTCCTGAACAAATTAATTAATAATATGTTTCAGTTTGGCTATTGACCAAAAGGTTGGCAGTTCAAAGCTATCCTGGGATGTAGCCTCCCCTGTTTAGGGATCATGTTTGCAGTGGTAGTGTCATCCTCTAGCCCAGAAGGTCTTGGTTCATCTACCACAGAGGAGTATCATAGTATGTCTGAACAAGTTGATTATAAAATTGGATTTTTTATGCGCATAGGAATGACATTTTAATTTTCATTATAAAGTCTTGGTTTGTTCTTGTTTTGTTTGTTTTTATTACAGTGTGTCAGCTGTACCCCTTTCAAATGGGACACTTAATTGGTAATGGGTTTACAAAAGCGGTAGGAGCAGTTTAAAAGGGGAGATAATTTTTGGTGACACAAGTATGACTCACAGGAACATTCAAAACAGGAGCAAGTATGGGCCATTCAGCCCCTGAAGCCTGCACTGCCATTCAGCCAGATCATGACTACGCTTCTCCCTCAGCACCATTTTCCCACAGTATCCCCGTATCGCACGATGCCTTTAATATCGATCTCTGTTTAGAAAATGTAAACATAGAAGCAAGGAAGGCCATTCAGTCTCTCAAATCTATTCTATCATTCTAGATCATAGATGATCATCTACTTCAATTGTATTTTCTCATAATATTCTGATAACTCTTGATGTAATTAGTATTCAGAAATATATCAATCTATGTCTTGAAACTACTCAGCAATGGAACTTCCACAATCCTTTGGAGCAGAGAATTCCAAAGATTCATTTCCCACTGAGTGAAGAAATTCCTTCTCATCTCAGACCTAAATGGTCCGTCACTTATTTTCAAATTGTCTCCCCCCCCGGTTTTAGATTCTCTCACACTACCCTCTACCAACAGCCAACGAACATAGCCCTGGAACATTTACCTTGTATAGCTTTGTGTGATGCTGCTGAAGGAAGTGAATGTTTAAAGTCATGGATTGCATGGCAGTTAAGCAAGCGGCTTTGGTCTGGATGGTGTCAAGCTTTTTGAATGTTGTTGGAGTTGCACTTATCCAGATAGTGGAGAGTGTTCTATCACACTCCTGACTTGTGCCTTGCAGATGGTGGAGTGAGGAGACGAGCTACTAACACAGAATTCTCAGTTTTTAGTAATGACAGTGTTTATGTAGCTCATCAAGTACAGTTTCTGACCAGTGGTAACCTCAGGATGTTAATGGTGAGAGTTGCAACAAATATAACTCTTGCTTTCTAGAGAAATGTAGAAGTATTCAAATTATTAGCTTATTCTTGTGATAAGACAGCTCTGTATTTCATCTTCTACAGACTTAAGTTTCATAAAGTGTAGTTTAACAGTATATTTGCATTACGTTCAGGACGGATGTTTTATGTTATTATCTCTTTTTCTTATATTATGTATGATTTTCTCCTCAAAATAATAAGGTTCACAGCATTAGATGCAGATGATCACAAATTGATTAAGGAAACTGTTGCTAGTATTGATCAGTGGTACATAGAGTGCAACTTTGCATAGTTTTATTGGCAAATGTTGACAAGATAATCTAGCCTCATTAAAATCTGAGCTGAGCAAACTCTTCTGACAATCACATTTTCATATAGTTTTTTTTTCTGAGTCCTATTCCTTTTTTATATCACCTTACATTCCTTTCATGTCCCTTCTCTGTATCATCAGTGTTACACATCCTAAAAGATCTACCAAACAATTCGTAAAGTTCATAAAATACCAAAGGGCTTTTAGTGTTCCCGTTTGGCTATTACTTTTCAGTCACAGAGTTGTTCTGTATTCTGCTTGTCTTCTGAAATCTTTCACATGATTCTTTTTGCAGTTTGCTGTACCTCATACTTTGTGTTGTCATCAAATGTTCAGAAATGTAAAACCAGCATTAATACCTGACGTATATGCCTTCCATTCATTTTCCGCTTGTTTGCTACTAAATGAGACTCCTGTCCCAACAGGCATTTCAAGGTTAGGAAAGACAAAGTTGGTTGCACAGTGAATGTTCCTCAACTTTTTGTCAATGATGCTGCTCAACTATGATCTCATCCATCATCCTGATACTTCTCGAATCCACTCTTCCAATATTCCGTAACCTTCCTGAACAAGGTTGCCAATTCACTGGAGACTCGGAGTAGTTTAGTGCCAGAAATCCAAAAATTACTGTGTCAATTGATTAGGGAACAAGTGGCTGTAATCCTACAGAGCCATAAAGTTTACAAAGCTGAGAAAGCAAGACAAAATCAGTAATGAATGCATGATGGAATTGACAGCCAGATAAACAGAGGCTCAGAGACTGGATAAAAGCACTCATAGACTGGCATTGTACATCCCCAATCTAAGCCTGCTTGTGATCATTGGTTATCAATGAGAGAAGCAACATTCTAATCATCTTTTAATAAATTTCAGGATCTAGGAATTGGCTCAAAATCTTCTGAAGTTTGGCAAAGAGGAGAGGAATTTAAAGTGTTTCACTTCGCGAGCTTTGACCACGCTATGTTATTTTTCTTTTTCTTCTGAGACACAAGGAGAGCATTTCAATGGGGATTCTCCAGCTAATCCATTTTAAACTTCAGTGGAAACAGCCCTGGAAACCCTCAGGAAATGTAGTCAATGCCATTGATGCATTTATCCCAGGAGCTCTAATGGATCTCCCACCACTGGTGGCAAATTCCACCTAAAATGTAATCCCTAAATGTATTTGTTTGTGATCACTGAGGCAACAACTGTAACAGAGGGGACCATTCAGCCTCTTGAGCCTGTTCTGTCACTATTCGGTTAGATCATGGCAGAATTATTTTTCAATTCATTCGAGCTATGTAAGCTTCACTGTCTGAGCAAGCATTTATTGCCCATCCCTAATTGTCTTGAGAACAAGGTTGAACTGCCTTTTTGAATCGCTGCACTCCATTTGGTGTTGATGTCTCTATTGAGTTAGATCAAGGCCAACCTGTATCTAACTCCATTGACATGCCTCAATTTCATAGCCTTCAGTAACTTGCTGCTGCTCCTTTCACAGTGCTCAGCAGAGTGTGGCAATGGAACCCAAATTCGAAGTGTGGTCTGCCTGAAAAAAACTGACGACAAACTTACGGTGGCAGAGACGAGTGAATGCTCCCACCTGGAGAGACCAGCATCGGAGCGAAGCTGTCACCTGAGGAAATGTGATGTCAAATGGTACTCGACAGAGTGGAGCGCAGTAAGTATTCCAACAGAAGAACTATCCATGTGAGTGGAGTAATTCCACAACAAAAGGAATTGTCAATGGGGAGTGCAGTAACTTCACCTAGAGCAGAATGTTATGCGCTATCTGTACCAGTGCACAGCGTCGTCAGTGGTACTACATGTAAAGTATCCTATCAGTGAGAAATATATTAATCTATAACTATAATATGTTGCAGAGTAGAGTGAAGTAAGTACCATAATTAGATATTGTACCAGAAGCATTAAGATTCTGGTAACTAGCTATTGCCAGAAATACTTTCATCTGATAGCCAACTCTGTAACCAGTCCCTTTTTAAAGTCAGTTGGAACAAGTGTGAATGCACTTCTTATAACTCAAGGTCCTTAAGGATAAGTGTCAGTAACTCGAGTTTTTTTTTTAACTTCACTTGTGGGTGTGGGCCAGGGGTGTCACTGGCTGGCCAGCATTTATTGTCCACAGAAACATAGAAGATAGGAGCAGGAGAAGGCCATTCAGCCCTTCGAGCCTTCCCCGCCATTCGTCACGACCATGGCTGATCATCCAACTCAATAGCCTAATCTTGCTTTCTCCCCTTAACCTTTAATCCCATTCACCCTGAGTGCCATATCTAGCCACCGCTTGAATACATTCAATGCTCTGGCATCTAAGATGGTGATGATGAGCCGTCTTCTTGAACTGCTGCAATCCATGTGCTGTAAGTAGACTCGCAATATTATTTTGAGAAAGGGATTTTCAGGATTTTAACTCAGTGACAGTGAAGGAACAATGGTACATTTCCAAGTCAGGATGGAGGTGATCTTGCAAGAGGTGGTGTTCTCATGAATCGACTGCCCTTGTTGTTCCAGATGGAAGTGGTTGTGGGTTTGAAAGGTGCTGTCTAAGGATCTTTGGTAAATTTCTGCAGTTCATCTTGTAGATGGTACACGCTGCTGCTACTGAGCGTCGGTGATGGAGGGAGTCAAACTATAATTATGCTCCTCAGCAAACTATTGCATAAAGCAGGATATGTCATGATTCAAATGTCATTCCATGCCTTCAAACTATGAATGAAAAGAATATCTCAGGGTTCAGTGGGAAATATATGAAAAATACTGAATTTATCAAGCTGCCTGGTTGTGCAAAGGGCCGTTTCTAAATATCCTTATCAAATGATGAATCATATTGGCAATTCCAATTTGCCTGTTGCCCATTTGCACCTTACTCCAGCCAAGTTTCATTTTACAGTGCTCGAAATCCTGCGAAAGTGGCTATCGGGTTCGAGAGGTCAGATGTCTTGCAGATGACATGACACAAAGCAACAGTTGTGATTCCTTCCTAAGGCCAATTGATAAAGAAGTCTGCAACACTAACCCATGCATACCCGAGATAGGTATGGTATAAATGCACTGTTTGCATGTGTGCACGGTTGCCTTAGCTCTTCTGTATGTTTCAAAGAAAGAAAGTTAGACTTACATTCATTTTGTGCCTTTCACAACATCCTAAAGAATTACAGAGTCACTGAAATACTTCTCAAAAGTAGGCCCTGAAGGTCAGCAGCTAATTTGCATACAACAAGCTCTCACAAACAGTTCTGTGATAATGATCAGATAGTTCATTTTTTGTGATTATAATTGAGGGATAAACATCGTCTAGACCATTGGAATTAATGTGTTTTTTCTTTTTTGAAATAGTGCTATGGGATTTTCAATGTCCATTTGAGAATATAGACGGGACCTTAGTGTAATGTCTCATCCAAAAGAGAATATCCTGTCTAATATTGCAACTGTATGTAAGCCTGAATGTTTGTACCCGAGTGGGATTTAAACCCTCAAACATTATGATTCATAGACAACTGTACTACCCACTGACCTACATCACAATCATTCTCAATTTTAATCCAGTTCTATTTGAGCTGTGTGCAATGCAAGTTAAGGAATGTTTGCATAGGATATGCCAATAAGCTCAGTTATATTAGTCTAACATGGATGGAAAAGCTCCCTGCACTGTGTTCCAACCTCAAAATTCAGCCTTCATCATGGAGAAAAACAATTTACAGCATCAGTGTGATGTTTTCCATTTCCTATACCAATCACTCTGTGACCCTGCCGTGCAAATTCGCATTTACCTTCAAATGACGGACATTTGTTTGTTAGAGACCTGAGTTGGAAACAGTTTAAAATGACCAAACAACTTGCAGCAAAAAGTTGGGGGTGTGGTACAAAATTCATTTAGCTATTGTGTAAAATGGTGGTGTCACTCATGCAAAGAAACGTTAAACATTTTCCAGATTGGAAAATGTCTAAAAATGTTGGCCGTAGATAATTCTATTGACTGTTCTAAAGAGCTTACCCTTTTGAGCACACGTCCTGCATTTATTAAGTTCATGTTCTGCCCCTATTTTTACCATAGTTTACCACAAGAGCCCACAACATCATTCTGCATCCTTACTGTTGGTCGGGTATATAGTCAGGAAAGATGTGGAACTGCTGCTGATTCATTGATTACAATCGGAATAGACCCTAACTCATTGTATAAATAATGCCGAGAGTATTCCGTAAGCTGTAGAGCAATAATTGTTGTTTCTCACAAAGGAACTGAATCCTGCAGATCATTGTGAACAATGTGTGTGCACAGGGGAATGGCCATTTGGCTTGAACTGTCTGTCCCAAAACTGTCTGTCTGTGCAAAAAAAAACTATAGTCCCAGTGCCCACATAATTTCCCCATAACCCTGCAAATTTGGAATGTCAACTCATTTTATAATGGAACCCAGCAGGTAAGGTGATAACTATGACATCTATGATACTGTCCAACACATTTGGAAGCATATGCAATTTGAAAATAGGTGCTGAACTGAACAGTAAAGTTCACTGCCACGTACTGCACCGATCTTCTGTTCAAAGGCAGGTCCTTGGCTTTGTCTGTTGTGCTTCATTTGGATACTCTTCCTTGGCAGTTATTTTCTACAGGTGGTTTGCATTGCAAGGGTGAAGAGACAACTCTCATTCCTATCCCAGCCAGAATGGGAATTGACCCTGTGCTGCTGGTGTTATCCTGGACCGTATTGCTAGCCACCTAACCAACAGAACTTGTCTAACAGGCAGCATCAGAGGAACAGGAAAGCTGACATTTTGAGTCGGGACCCTTCTTCAGAAATAGCCCCCATTTCTGAAGAAGGGTCCCAACCCAAAATGTCAACTTTCCTGCTCCTGTGATGTTGCCTGGCCTGCTGTGTTCCTCCAGCTCCACACTGCTTCTCTGACTCCAGCATCAGCAGTTCTTACTATCTCAGAACTCCTTGTCAATTACTTAATGCTGCTATATTTGGAAAGAAATGCATGTTGGAGGAGGTTGACCTGTTTACCCAAGTCGGATCACTTGACTTGTACTTTCTACCACCAACTTAGGCAATGCATTTCCATGGAGTATCAAGCAGTGTTGATAGTCTCCACAGGAACGATCTCAGGCATGCAGGTGGCAAGGTCTCTGAGGAACACTGCCACTGAAAATATCAATGTGTTGAGTTCAACAATCCAATATATGAGAAAGGCTGGCTTTGAAATATTTGGAAGAATTCTGGAGATGTGGTGGATGTCAAGATTTGCACAGCGTGTAGGTATAAGCATTAACAGGCATAAGAAGAGATTTTGAAGTTGCTGGCCTCCCTCCAGTATTTTGCTTCCAGTAAGAAACAAAAAATGTCCCCTGATCATGTAGGATTATACAGCTGGAAAAGGAAAGGCTACTCCAGGCAGTTAGAAGAGATAATCTGGGTCTGGAACACACATAGCTAATTGATTAATGCAGTAACAGGCAGATCCCTAGGTAAAACACTCAGCAGTCCTTCACTCCTACTCTTTTAAAAGGCCAACTCGGAGGGTGGTATACAACAAAGAACATAGTGCACTAGTACAAGCTGCGCAATGAGTTAGTCGCACATTATGGCACATATTTTGCACACTCTCTAGCATTGTAAAGATTTTGTTTAAAACTCCAATTGGGCCAAACTTTGCACATGTAAGGTGGGAGGGAGGATTAACTACTGGAAGTTAGAATTTGGAGAAGATCTCAAATCTGGAGAGTCTTCATCCTGTTTTAACATCTGTCCTAAATTCCAGTGAGCAGCAACAAGTAAATTGTAAGTCAACGTTCCAGTAGTATTACACGTATTCCAGACTCATTAAGCTCCAGAGATCTTTTCCTGTTCTTTTTGGCATTTCCCAAGCTTCAGTTCCCCCATAGAGCAACCTGAACCATTTCAGAGTCTCTCCGTGCAATTTGAGGCACATACATTTTAATTACACTCACAGGCTTTGGTCCTTCCTACATGCATTGATAAAAAAATATAAGTGATAGGAGCAGGAGGAAGCCATGAAACCTCATGAGTCTGCTTCGTCATGCAATAAAATAATTGTGGATCTGATCATGACTTCAACTTCACTTCCCTGCCTTCCCCCATAACCCTTGATTCCTTTGTAGAAACAAAACCTACCTAACCCAGCCTTGAATGTATGAATGACATCACCTGCATGGTACCTGGGCGAGAGCATTCCAAAGATTTCTGACTTTGAGTTAAGAAGAAGGATAAATTATGATGAAACTGATTACAAAAGGATCTTGATCAAATGAGTCAATGGCTGAAAAATGGCAGCTAAAGTTCAATTTGGATAAATGTGAGGTATTGCATTTTGGTCAACAAATAGGAGCAGGACTTATACAATTAATGGTAGGGCCTTGAGTAGTGTTATAGAAAAGAGGGATCTAGAGGTTCAGGTACATAACTCTTTGAAGTTTACATCACATATATACAGGTTAAAAAGTCATTTAGCATGCTTGCTTTCATTGCTTAGTCCTTTGAGTTTAGGAGTTATGAAGTCATGTTGAGTTTGAACAGGACACTTGTGAGCCCTCTTCTGGAGGACTGTGTCCAGTTCTGCTCATCCTGTTATAGGAAGAATATTATTAAGCTAGAGAAGGTTCAGAACAGATTTACTAGGATGTTGCCAGGTATGGAAGGTCTGAGTTATAAAGGAATCTGGACAGGCTGGAACTTTTGTGTGTGTGCGAGGTTGAAAGGTGACCTTGTAGGGGTTTATAAAATAATGAGGGGGAGAGATAGGAATAATGATAAGTGTCTTTTCCCTAGAATGGGGAATTTCCAGACTGGGGACATATTTTTAAGATGACGAGAGAGAGCTTTAAAAAAGACATGAGGGGCAAATCTTTTACACAGAGGGTGGTCTGGAATGAATTTCCTGAGGAAGTGGTGGGTGCGGGCACTGTTACTAGATAAGTACATGAATACAAAAGGTTTGGAGGGATATGGGCCAGGAGTAGGGAGATGGGACTAGTTTAATTTGGGATTGTGTTCAGCATGGACTGGTTGGACCGAAGGGTCTGTTTCGGTGATATATGACTCTATAACTTCTCTACAAGACAAAACATCTATTCACCATCTAACCTGTCAAGGTCCTTCCAAATCTTACTTGTTTCATTAAGATCACTTCTCATTTTTCTAAACTAATAACGACAGGCTCAACTTGCTCAAAATTTCCTCATAAGATAACCCTTCATTTCAAGAATAAGCCCAGTAAACCTTCTCTGAACTGCCTCCAATATAAGTATTACCTCTTTAAGTAAGGAGACCAAAACTGTACACAGTAGTCGGTATGGTCTTACCAACACCCTGTACAGCTGTAACAAGAGTTGCCTATTTTTAAATTCCAATTCCTTGCAAAAGAGCCCAACATTTTATTACTGTACCTGCATGCTAACATCTTGTCATTCATGTATGAGCTTGAGAGCTCTGGTTTATGTGCAGACAAAATTATAGATTTAGAATGTCAAAGAAACTTTTGACATATGTGAGATGCGAGAGTGGCCATTTTTGAGGAGCAAATTCACTTTTTAACTGGTTTAGCACCGGTCTTACTCTGAAACGATGGTACAAGTGATCATTTCATCAAACTGTATTCCTGGAGTTCCTACCCTTCTCTGTCATTAAGAAAAGGATGGAACCCTAAAATCCCACTTGGTGGGGTACCCCAATCTCCTGCCATAACCTCAGTGGAGATCAGACACCTAGAGAAACAAATGTTTGGATCTATTTCTCTGTGAACACCTCTGATTTCCTGCCCAAGTTACCTCAGTAGACTGGGAGAACCTTTATGAACATTCCGACTGCATGGCTGACTGGAGATCACAAGTGGGTTACTGAATGGTCAGGCCAGTGATGTTTCCTCTGTGAGATATCAGAGCTAGTTCCCATCTTGAAATACATTTCTTTTTCATATTATGATAGTTAGCATGCTCATGAATTGTTGGACATATCCACTGTCGTCAGTTTTAGGGAGAATTGGTGTTTTAGGAATTAAAATTTTGCTGTCTTGCCTTATTTATTTCTAGTGCTCCCTTTGAAATGCACCAAATTGGGCACTAATCAAAAGGGACTGCTTTTCATTTGGAATATGCTAAACACTAGATAATTAGACCTAACTGTTTGTTTGTAATAAACTGATGAGCCTGTAGAGCAGATCTCCCTTCTTGCATGTACTGCCTCTGGATGATACTACCTGCCACCACATCATTTCATTTCTGCAGTGCATTCCTGAATGGGGATGGAGCAAGTGTTCTCCTCTGGCCATTCTCACCCTTTCCACTGCCAAATTCCATCTCAGCCTCTGTGAGGGCACACCCATGAATGACGGTAGACTCCCAAGTACGCTTCAATGTCTGTCATCATTTGCAAATCCGATGGGGCCATTCTGTCTGCTCCTCGATTCAGAATAATCCAAAAGTTTGAAAAAAATCAAAATCAAGTTGCAACTCTATAATCCATATCCCATTAGTCCATGAAATCCTTCTCTCCATTACTAATTTAAAGCATTGTTCTCACGTGGTTAATCTTGGCTTCTAAGTCTGGAGTTGAGTGAAATGAATACCATGAATCTCTGGTTTATGTTGTACTTTCTTCTTTAATGTGGGAAAATAATTAACATTTTTCATCTGCCTCCTGATCTGACTGGTTTCAATCACTCTGATAAATACTAACATTTAATAGTTAACAGGTTGCGTGGAAATACCTCCACAAAACCACCATAATCAGAACAAGCCACATTTGCTACTTCAATCTCCTTAGTGACATTATGACTTCATCTAGTATTCATCATCTTGTACTGTAGTCACTTTAAACAGCCCAATACAGCATCATTGCAGAACTTATCACAAAACCAATAGCTCAAAAGCAAATGAAAATCATGAAAATAATAAAAAGGATAAACTGGATTACAAGGCTTCAAATATGTTTCTGGTACAGCCATTAGCTGCAGAGACCATTTTCCCTTCTGTTTCCAAAGACCCAAAACATCAACTTTCCTGTTCCTCTGATGCTGCCTGGCCTGCTGTGTTCCTCCAGCCCCACACTGTGTTATCTCTTGTTCTTATAGCTTGACTTGTTTTTACTCGCTAACCGCGTCTTTATTAGTGGTGGATGGACTGAGCTT